GGCTATGAGAGTTGCTTGTTGGCTTGCGTTGCTCTGCCATTTCTTTTCCTGTAGTTTTATGAAGAGGTTGGATAAGAAAATGAAGATGGTGCAGTTGTTAATTACAGACTTGTCAGTCATAGAAACCCCAGATCTACCCAGAGTTGAGGTTGATTGCACACAAGGTTGTTTTTTTTTTCCCCAAACAGTTATCCATCTGATGTACGGTGGTTTATTTTCCAGAGCCTTTGGAATGTAATTGCGTGGAGTGCTGCCTCGGAGCCTGCGTTTAGTCATTTTTCTGAAGTGTTTTCCATGCCTCAGTGGAACTTCTCATACTCTTAGGCAACTCCCGTGTATTTAATGTGGAGACGTACCAAACCTCTCCACTCCTAATTTACGGCCAAAACGCTGGGGCAGGCAGACAGCCTATTACAACCTAACTCGAGGTATTTTAAACTTGTTCTTCTGCATGATTAGCCCTTCAGAATGCTTGAGATATGGCCATGGGCTTAATCCCTCCTAACTGCCAAGAGCACATCTGTAATTCTTGCCAACTGTGAGCATCAAAGCCATGCCATTGGTCACATAACGGGAGGAACAAACCCTCAGAGAACCTCCCCATGAAGGTGGCAGGCAGCATCACCGCTGTGCAAAGCAATAGGGGAGGACATCAAACCCCCCTTCAGCTATGTGTGCAGGCCTTTCTGGGCCAGACTCGGCTCGTGATATGGAATGAGAGTTCTTAGTGTGACACTAAACTATTCACAGGCAGCCCTGCCAGCTGCAGAGATGAGCCCATCTTTGAAGGCATGCAGCCTTCATGCTGCCTTTTTAAGTATGAAATCCCCAAACCAAATAAGACAGAAAGTGACTCACGGGACAGCAGCATTTTAGCCTGACGCTGCTTTCGTTATTTTACTACAGAAGGAGGTGTGTAGTAACTCGTTCAGAGACGAGGCTCCTCTACCTGGGAACCCCTTCTGTTTTCATCCTTGCAATAACCCCTTGCAGAGCTCATGGCACCTGAGCTCCCTGCTGTCGGTTTTCTTCGAGAAAACTTGAGAACCTGAAAGGGGGAAGGGGCCCTATCCTGACAGACTGAGAATTGGATGGGCTTGCCTTCAGCATGGCGCCCCAGTCAGAAGAGAAAGCAAATGTTTCCAGTGTTTCCTCAGACAGGAAAATGGAATCCTTTTGGTCGCCATAGAGGTGGTTTCCGTTTGAAATCAACCACCACCGTTTCCTCGACCAGGTGGCAGTGTTTAGCAGGGAAGCTCGGTTTCCAAAATTGAGCTAGCGTTTAACTGGCCACTCTGTCATGAGGAGGCCTGGTGTGGTCTCAGCTGGGCCTGATGGGATTAATAAGCCCTGGGATAATATGCAGGAAGTTGAGTGGTGAGCGTGCGAGTTTAAGGGAGCTCCTAGGCTCTGTCTCCATCTCCGGTGCGGTGCTCCTGAGAGGCAGCGGGATGCAGGGATGCACGTGCGCTTGTTGTAAGCGGGGGTCGGGGGTCAAGCAGGCGAAGAACGTTCAGGAGGGCCGCCTTCTCTATCGAGTATTCCAGATCAGGGATACAGCTAGCGGAAGAAAGAGGTGTAGTAAGGTCAGAGTGGAGAAAGTTACTTTGAGCATAGCTTCCAGAAATAGTAAGGGGCTCTCTGTAAATGGACTTCAATTTCTACTAGATAAACGAGGACAGCATTTCTAAAATTAAGAAGGCCCTGACTACTAGAAACTGTGCCCTCCAGGTTATCTACCTCTCCCAAAGCTACTACCCACCCAAACCCCATTTCTCAAGTAGTCACGGGATTATTTCGTAGGTCACTTGCAGGATGAGTCGCCCTGAACTATCCTGCATTATGCGTGGTGTCCTGTGTGTGTGTGTGTGACATTAATTATGGCTCCACACTATTAGTTACCTTACCCTGATATTTCTTTGTTCCTCATCCTCTTCCTTTTCAGTTTGCGTGCTTGTGTGTGCTAGAGCGTTTGTGTGCTTATGTGTGTGCACACGTGTGTGTATGCATATTTGTAGTGTGTGTGCAGTGCGTGTGTGTGGGTACTCCAGGGAAATCTTTTCTCGGGTCTATGTTTTGTGGGGAGCATTCAGATCTGGTTTAATAATCTGGATGGGTAGGAATTTGAAGAAATGTTAATAAAATACCAGTCTTAAAGGCATATGGATAATTAAAAACATTTTTTTTGTTTCCAAATTCAGTTGTAGAATGGCTATGCAGATACTGTAAACCCTTTGTAATTTTAATGGGTGTTAAAAATTGAGTGGAGAGTGGTCAAAAATATTTTCCCCAGATGTCAAAAGTACTTTGTAAGATAATAAATCATGGTGATTCTTTTTGGCAGTTGTGAAGCACCTCCTCAAGCCCCCCCCCCCTACTTATGCTTAAAAAAGATGCTGTTCCAACACTAATAATGATTACATAGCACATTTCAGTTTCTCTCTATATTATCTCATTATAGACAGGCTCACTCTAAGCCACAGAAAACAGTGGAATGCCCCAGTGCGGCACCGGGCTCCCTGAAGGAGCCCAGTGTCATGGAGGACTGCCCTGGGTCCTTTTCAGACAGGTTGATTAAATTAAGAACCCAGATTACCTCATTTTAGTTTAGCTTAAGCCTGCGTTGTAGATCCCCTAAGATAGCAGCTGAGTGATGTTCCAGTGTCTCATGAACACCTGTAATGAGATTCTTCAGAAAATCTCATTATTCAGACAGTCACGCAGGGCAAGTACTGTTTTGTAATGATTATTTTCCTTAGACCTTTAGAATGTTTATGTCACATATAAGCCTTCCAGCTCTTCATTGGCTCCTCTTGTTTCATTTCTTTCCATTTGACCTCAGCGCTCTGAGGGGTGCCTGGGGTGCTCATGCAAAAGGGTCCTGGCGCTTGCCTGCTTTCACTGACCAGTGATGACGACGGCAGCCGTGGTGGGTGGTGATGGTGCTTCGGTGCCGCTGAGTGGGTTCTGACTCACGGAGACCGTCTGGAGGACAGAGGGAGAGCTCTCCAGTCCTGCAGCATCCTCACGAGATTGCCGTCTCTGAGCCCAGGGTTGCAGCCACGTTGTCAATCCATCTCGTGAGAGAAAGCTTGCTCTCAATCGTTGCCCTTGTACTTTACCAAGCATGATGTCCTTCTCCAGGGACTGGTCTCTCCCGACCACGCGTCCAAAGTATGGGAGACGAAATCTCGCCAGCCTCTCTTCTGAGAAGCCCAGTGGCTGCACTTCCCCCAGACCCGCGTGTCCGTTCTTCTGGTGCTTTATGGCAGAGTCTGTGCTTTGCCAAGACCATCCTGTAAACACGCCGACCCTTCCTCAGTTCCTTACTCTCTGCTGAGCCCCCATATACGTATGAAATTATTGAGATGTCCACGGTGTGGGGCAGGCCTGCTTTACTTCTCCACGGGACACCTTTGCTGTTTGACACGTTAAAGAGGCCCTTCGTCATGGCAGGCTTGCCCGTTGCGTGACTGTTTGAAAGCCTCCTGGACGTGGCGGTGCTGGTAGGGACAGCAGCAGGTGTGGGGAGCCCTGCGTATGAAGTTCTTCATCATGGACTGTGAACATGATTTATGGGCATGGTTTCACACATACACCCAACAGCCTTGGGGCTGATGGTTCTTAGCACCATTCCCACTTTACAGGTGAGCATGTTCTCGGCCAGGGAAGCTCAGCAATGTGCACAAAGGCATTGGGCCAAAGCTGGGAAATAACAGTGACTCCAGAGCCTGTTTGCGGTCAACTCAGCCATGTTTCCTTCCCTCATACCGTCAGGCACCTGGGAACAGCTTGACTAGACTCAAGCACGCTGGGGAGCGAGCAATAGCATCAGACTCCACTCAGCCAAGTTTGTCTCAAAATCGCCAGAAACATGGCCTGGGCTCTGTATTGGCACTCCTGCAGCTTGAGAAATGCACGCATGTCTGTGGTGAGCTCACCCTTTGGGGGAAAGCGGAGAGACCCTTGCTCCCATCTGAGTAAAACCCACTTATAGGATCTCCTTGTCAAGCCTGCATCACAACTTATAGTGGCTGGATTGAGCTGTGGTTGAGTTGTGGGGGCAGCCAGCTGGGGTGGGAACGCTCACCCAGGAATGCCCTTGGAAATGAAACATTGTAATAGAAATGACCTTTTGAAGGCAGGTTTCCAGGTGTGTTGTAAACTCATTCTAGGCTATAATTGAAATATGAAAGAATGCTTCAAACACGGTCATCTGTTTTTCGGTGATTGTTGTGCTAATCCTTAAAGCCCAGCATGAATTCATACAGACGTGGCCTGGGAAGCATGAAAGCGCCCCTGCTCCTCATTTCGCATGTTGTTCAGAACGAAACTGGTTGAGGTTTCGACTGAAGGTGAAGACCTCCTGTTCATCTATCAAACCCTACCGCAGTCGTCCCCATCCAACCTTTGTGGCAGCAGGGGCAGGGGGGCTCGTCCACTCGGCTGAAGACTGGGGAGAGATTTGCAGCAGTTCACGAACACTGAAATGGGAGAGTGTCAAATGGCTTTGTTCAGGTTCTAAAAAGAGTGACGTGCAAATCTGGGGCCGTGTGAAAGTGCTCTACTGGCAGAGGTTTGGTCTCGGGAGTTGAGTAATGAGTTTACTGGACAGCAGGCTCAGGGACTGTGCTCGCCTTTGCCAGCATGTTCCATGTGAGATCACACACCATTCAGCCGGCACATGGGATAGTCAGCCTTCTGATCTTAGCCAATCGGCAACCTGCTCCGACCTGGACACCTCCCTCAGCCAACATAGGCTCTGTTGGTGCCCAGGGCTCCACAGAGCCTTGCTCCGAGCCCATGTACAGAGAGCAGTGGCGGGGTGAGTGTAGGGTACTCGCTCTGCAGATGCCGCTTCTTCCCTGAAAGTAAAAGCTGGGTTCCTGGGTACGGGCCGGACAACTGAAGTTGACACCAGGCATTGGCCCTTTGCTCCCTGGGTGGTCTGGGGATGCTCTGTAAAGAATGCACTGATGGGATTTCACTCTTTTATCTAGACGCACTACTTTGGCCTTTGGTTTCTCAGCAAGAGCCAGCAAGCACGATGGGTGGAGCTGGAGAAGCCTCTGAAGAAACATCTGGACAAATTTGCTAATGAGCCTCTGCTTTTCTTCGGAGTCATGTTCTATGTGCCAAATGTGTCCTGGCTGCAGCAAGAGGCCACAAGGTAGGTGCTGCGCCCCGCTCTCTCCTCCCCCACCCCCCATGTTCCATTTATGGGTGTAGACTAATTGTGAGGCTTCAGATAAAGTAGATGTGCTGATTGATGAAGGGCGGGAGGGTGGACGGGTGGGGCAGTTGGAGCAATAGAACCGTTGCTGTGCAGCTGTAGAACCCTTGTGCGGATTGATTGGCTAACCCCAGTGGTTCCTGGAAGGTTGCAGGAGTGAGGTCAGCTGGAGCCAGGTAGAAATTAGAGCTGCAAGAAGTGTTTTATTACAGATGGTGGGTGAACGAGTGCTTCCAAAGTTTCATTCAAGAGGGGGTGAAAATCACCACCTGCTGTGTTTTTATGCACGCCTCCCTTCCAAGGACCCACAAGCGACGTGTCCCACTCGACTTCGGAGTCGAGGATTGGGCTGGCAATGACAAATAGAGCCCGGCTGTGGGTGGGTATGGGGCGGGGGCACTGAGGGGAGGGTGCTGGCTGGCCTCGGTTAAGTAAGAGGAAATGGGAAGCAGTGGACCATGGAGAGGAGACCTAGGTGTTGGTGCCTCCCTGCTGCTCAGTGACTGTGCCACCTTGGAGGAGTCACCCACGTGTTCAGGATGGCATCTGCACTTCTCAACTTATCCAGGGTTTTGGATCAGTTGCTAAAGTTTTGACATTCTGCGACTCTGTGTGGGAAGCAAGTGCGTTTTTGTTGGTGTGGGGTCAGCTCTTTTATCAGTAGGTGCTTTTAATGAGAATACCTAGCTTCTCCTCACCCCATGGGAGATGTCCAAGAGTAAGATGTCGTTCACAAAGCCCCTGCTTTTGTGCCCTTTCCTCGGTCGTGGGATCCGCGTGCTCACAAAGCAATGCGGGTGGTATACTTAGAAGAAGGAGCGATCTGTTTGATGCATGGCTTCTCCGATGTTACATTTCTGAAAAGAAGATGCCCTTGTGATTTTTCTAGCCATGTTAAGTGATAGCTTCTATTTCTTGAAAGTTGATCCAAAGTCGAGGTGTGAGCTAATGGAGCCATGAGGTCACGCACAGTCTGACCGGGAGACCGTTGGGTTCTGTCTTCCTGCGCCGCTCGTTGCAGCTCTCGGTTTCCAGGTTGTTTCATCAATGGAAATCCTTCTGCCCCCAAATATCGTTAGCTTCTTGAAATGCATGGGTCCCCTGGCCCTGGAATTCTCCTGGAGTATTCCACCGTGAATTCACACCACGCTAGGAGTACCAAGTGCCCTGGTGGCATCGTGCGTTATGCACGGAGTTACGAGCTGCAAGGCCAGCCGTTTGCACTGACCCGCAGGTTTGGAGATGGAGGCTTTCTGTTCCTGCAAAGGTTTGCAGTCTCAGGAAGCCGAAGGAGCGGCTCCACTCCGTCGTCCCGGGGGGGCCGGGATGAGTCCTCGTCTACTCGATGACAGTGAGAATGGGGGAGCAGGGGGTTAATAAATACTTGCTGAACTTTTTTGGGGGGGAGGTTATTAAATGCAAGGCCACCAATGACACAGGTAGAATTCAGACCCTAAATTAGTTTCTATTATGAAAAGCTCAGTGTATGCAAAAAAAAACAAAATGAAGTGTTACTTCAGAGAGACTTATTTGTGAGGGAAAATAGCCAGAAGGAGCTTTACCATAAAGATACATTTGTGAAAGCAAGAAACAATTTTCATTAGGAGCTTTTTTTCCTCTTATTTAAACCTGCATGTAACTCACCACCCTGCACATACAACACTTAGCCATTGAAGTGGAAGTGCACGTTCAAATCCTTGAGTCTGGCTTTTCTCAGACTGGAGTGTTGTGTCTGATTTTTTTAAAAAATAAATCATTTTATTGGGGGCTCTTAAAGTTCTTTAATAATCCATACACCAAGTGTATGAAGCACATCTGTTGCCATCACCATTTCCAAATTGTGTCTAATTTTGGACACAACATTTATTTTAGGAAGAGCATTGTCATACATGATGTTTTCCAAACAGCAAGATCTGGAAGCCTGGTATCGAACAGGCTTGTTCTACAATCTCTCTTGTTGAAGGAGAGCAGTTGAAATGGGGAAGGGCACAGAAACTGTGCATTTTAAAGAAATAATGCATTTAAAAGAAATTGCATTATAAATTCTTTTTGTTTAAGGTCCGTTAACCTTAAGGAAACAAAGACTTACAGGATGCAGTAATTGTCTCCTGAAATTGGAAGGCATCATCTTATGGGAAGGGCAAATTCGGTGTTAGCTGTAAAAGTCAAAATTAAGGCCAATAGTAAGTAGTAAGTTCAAGGGCTTGAAAGACTTTGGTTATTTTGGCTCATCTTAGGAACACAGTGTCTCATACTCAAAGCCACATAAAATTGGGACAAGTAGGCTCCTGAAAGGGTTAGTGGTGTGGTTCTGGTACAAGCTGGTGTTGTGTGTGGAGTGTTGGAGAGGAGACTGCCATGTTGGAGGTGTCAGTATGGATTCTGGGACTGCCCCCGGAGTCTTAACTACAATGTCTAGAGTTAGCGCTCTAGAGGAAGGATGTACTCTCAGAGGAAACAGCATTCAAGTGACTCTGACGTTCACAGAGGCTTGAGACTCAGTGAATTAGTTAACCTCTGGAACGCTTCACAATTGTAGATTTTTACAAGTATAGGTAAGCCTGGAACGTCAGTAGGTATCAGTTCAGAATGTGTCAATATTTGCATTCATAAACTAAAAAAAACACCAAGTAAGTGCTTATATCTTACAAATTGAGGTACCAGGTAAAATGTTTTGCTGGTGGTAATTAAGGACTCCCCCACTTAAAAAAACAAACAAACAAACAAAAGAAAGAATTTTGCTTTGTAGCTTGGTTTATTTAAGACAAGATTTCAGAGTAGATGTAAACATTTCAACAAAGCCATGTCAGTTTCAGGTATCACCTTCTCTGTAGGAACTACAACGTTTGAAGGCACTGGCCCAGGAGAAGTTCTTTTTCAGCATCGCTGCCCCCACCCCCAAATGGAATGCGCCTGTGGTATCAGAGAAAGTCAGAGATAGGAGCCAGGGAGATGGAGACATGCGAGTGCCACCAACAGTCCCAGACATGATTCAGGGAAACATGCCGGGAGTTGTTGGCAGATGGACTACACTACAGAAGAGCCATGCTTTGGGAAGAACAACTGTCTTTAAAAGCTCAGACCTTGTGGGTTTGGTGTTAGAGACAAACAGATGAGTTGAACTCATGGTGAAGGATGCTGCTGACCTCTCATTAGGAGCCTTTGGGACTTGGAGCCTTCTTGGGAGGTTCTAGAAGCATCCGGAATTTGAAGTGAGTCTTGAAACCATCTCCAGAGCAGAGCAGCCAAGGAGAAGCAGCGGTAGGGGTGGGGCAGGATTCCAGAGGAATGCTTTACAGAAGACCAAACAACATTCATTAGAGCGGGTTAATGACTAACTCTCCAGTCACCTGGCTGCTATATGACTTACCACGCATCTCAGGTGGAGGTGGGCCCTGGGATCTCTGGGTGCACCTGGGATCTGCAGTGTCTGTCCCAGAACAGTTAGTCTTTGTGATGCCACACAGAGGGCGATATTTGCATAGATTAGAAATAGAAATCTGTCTTTCATTTGTGGGCAACCGTGTTGGAGGAGGCAACCCTTCAACCATCTGTGCTTCAAAAATAGGCCTTTGTCTGGAGCCAACCAAACTTGTTTGCAATGGCCTGGCTATTTCACTTTGAGAGTAAAACAGGTTCTCTAGCTTTCGTCATGAGCGGTTATTTCATAGCTGTGGATAAGGGAGTGGAGAATCAATACTTGGTTGTTACTGGTCATTGGCTGTTTTTGGTTTGTTTTGTGAGTTCATGTGCATCAGGATTTTTAGGTATAAAAGGAAGAAATCTTTTACATTTATTTCCTGTCCTCATACAAGCCTACCCTTGGAAGCTTGCAAGTCAGTAGCATGTTCTGAACAACACAACAAAAATTAGAGAATGAAGTTGATGGCCAATTTTTCAACGCCTTTAATGAAGTAATCAAGTTTTAGTTTGCTTGTTTTTATAATTAGGAAATTAGAATGTCGTACTTTTGGGACATAGTGCATCTCATCCAGTACGAGGACTGTTGGATATAACTTTGGTGTGGGACTTGCCAAGATGCCATCGACCGAGTCAGAGAAGAAACAGCAAACTCAGGTCTTACTGTTAGGAGATGAAGACAGAAGATTTCCACAGGAGAATATAATCAGAGCACAAATAAAAGGAGGGTAAAAAATCCTTGATGTTACTACAAAAGTGTAACCCTAGGGATTCAAGAGTGGAGAGCCCTTGAACTTTGTGAACACATCTCCAAAAGATTCACTCCATCACCTTGGGGCTTTGGGAAGTATTTTCAATGCTACCTTTCCCATTTTGGTTAGACTGACTCAAGGGATGGGACCACCACCTGTTTTCCAATGAGCTTGGCTTCACGTGTTTTTCTCTGCCAGCTTTTCTGTTCTGTGAAGGGACTCTTGCTAGCAGTTCATCTTCGCATGGTGTTCTCTTGACTCAAAGGAAAGAGTTTTGTAATGTGTTTTATTGATTTGCATAGCAACCGGCACATTATCAACACATAACTTTCAGATTTTTTTCTGGACACGGGGGAGGAGAGGGGAAGATTGTAAGACGGAAAGAAATTCTCCGTTCACCAGAAGGATATGTAATAATAGCAAGTCAGAGCCCTGCTGGCCAAGACCATAGCTGTTCGCGTAGATCTGGGGTTTTTCCAAATCTCGTTAAGTGAGGAAGGCTTGCTTTTGGCTCTTTCTTTTCTTTTCTCTTTTGCAGTTCCAAGGAGAAAACTTTAAGAGAAAAAGTAATATTTGGAAGAGAGAATTGTGCTTCAAAACTTAAGTTGTTAAGTGTGTAAACAGATTTTCAAATGTTAAAACCTGGGCATTTTTATTTTTACCCAAACATGTTTATTTTTATATTATTCAATGTTACATGACATGTCTGCATGGTGCAGCCCAAGGTCACTGCCAGTGAGCTGATTCCAACTCACAGGGGCCCTG